ATGTATTCCGTCACCGCATTCTTCAATCACATGCCCCATACATTCACAAAAGAAACAGAACTCCGGGAGCTTTTCATAGGATAGCGGGTATTTTTCCTCTCTTTTAGAGTGATAGGCACAAACCTCACAAGCGGCTTATTAACATTCACAAAAACCTTAACTCTCAAAATTGCATCGAGATTCCGAGACCATCAATGCCCACTACTGCTGTCAGAACGAGCCGCTGACTCGCCATTGTCGCCGCTCCCTTACCGGAGCCAACTTGACCTTGTCGATGACAGCCGAAAAGTCTTCGTGCACAAACCCCAAGGACCAGCGCCCTATAGCCGCAGTCACCGCCACTGAACCTTGCATATATCTGAAGCACCCACTACTAGGGAACCCCCTATAGGCAACCACCTAGTAGTGGCGCTGCTTTTTTTACCAGCACTACTGGTAGTAGTGCAGGTCCAAAAGCCGCGCTACAGGTAAATATTAGTAGTAGCGCGAGCACATCAAGCTGAACATTTCGACCCTGTGGATGGTATGACATGGAGGATGATGACCCTGGCGAGTACATCAATACTGGTTATGACGGAGGAATGGGTCTATATGATTTAGGCTACGACCGTGACTGTGATGATCGGGATACTTAAATGGATGATATATCAGAGAAGGAACGTCCTCCTATTGAGTGCAATAAGTCTCTATTCAGGCAATCCTCCCATGACACACCTCTAGATGCCTGCACCCAGGATCAACCAGCCGAGCATCGTGCAATGTTGAGCCCGACCACAGCGGGGGTGGCTGTCAGGACGGATTTGCCAGGATCACTACCCTGTGCCCGCGAAGAAGCAAAGGAGGAGATCGAAGAAAGGCGTTGCTGCCAAACCTTCCAACAGCCAACCGCCTCCAGCAGTCCGGGTTCAGGACATGAGACCGATCTGAAATGCACTGCTGCTCCATAAATCGGGTCGGTCAATTCTACCGCTAGATGCACTTTGTTGTACAACTGAGGGTTTCAGGAGCCTGTTTGACCATGTGTTGTCGAAAGAAATGAGTCTTCTCCGATCAAATGATCTGGTATACCCGCTTTACGCGGTTAAGGTGCCGAAGGGCTTAGGCTTCGTCGACATATCCGCCGCGGACATCTTTTTCCTGAGGTTTGATTACATCTTCGAGATGTATCACATGAGGCGGCTCGATTTTACGTCCGTCCGTCTTTTTGCACTCCATTTATCCTACGTGGTCAGAAAAGAGCAAATCTTGGCCATCGCGGTAGTAGACCCCTACTTCATGTATGAGAACTTCTTGAAGGCCGGCAGAGTGGAAGTGATGATGTGAGTAGGTACCTTGAAGACTTCATGGTGGCGAATAAGGACAGGGAAATGATTCGTGTGCCTTATTATCCCTTGTAAGTCATTCGCTAGTCACTATACACATCCTTTCGTACATTTCAGTAATGCATTTCCATCTATGGAGGTTAATTTATTTTGCATAGTGAGTGATGCATCCTTATCGTTCTGTACCCGCAAGTATGCCACGCTCTCAATTTGGACTCGTCCAAAAACACTGAGAAGAAAGACTACACTCACATGAAGAGTGTTCTGGATACTACTCTCTTAGGCTTCAGAGTTAGGGGAGGCAACGTCAGGCCAAAAAACGCAGGACGGGTGTGCTGTGTTTCGGCCATAACACTAACTTTTGCTGCGTCCAGCAACCAGAAACAAGTAGGAGGGATGAATTATATGTCATCCATCACATGCCGGAGTTCACAAGAGATCATCAAAGACTTCGCATGCCAACTAGAGCCGATTCCCATCTCCGTGAATGGGCCGCAAACTTAGCATCCGAACCTGATGATAAACTCAGAGTTGAGTTCCATCGCATCCAGCAGTCGCTTGCGCCAATCATCTACAAAGATGTTCTCCCAGAGGATGGAATGTTCTTCGCCGACCCACAAACGTGGGATGACATGGAGACTCGCATACAACTACAGGGTCAGGACCTCACGCCTTTCACAAAGCTAGGTGACATTCTCCCGGAAAGGCCGAAGGTGACATGTAAGAAGTGATTGACGATGAAATTAACAGTAATAGTGCAGGGCCCATGCTACAGCTAAGTAGTAGTAGCGTGGGGGCACACCCGTGCTTATAGATTTTTGAGAAGTCAAATTTTAATCAAATTTAACATAACAATTATTTATATCTATAATACCAAACATATATCACCCAAGAAAAAAAAAATACCAAACATGTATAATAGTATTTTCTGCGAACCTGGTCAAAGTTTGTAAAGTTTGAGTTCTAAAAAGAATATGTATGCACTACATTGTGAAGTGGAGGAAGTGAGGGTGTGAGCATGTGCAATCCCCATATGTAGCAACTCATTGAAAAAAGGATGTGGCCTATCGCTAGCTCTCCTCTAGACGAGAACAAACTAAATCTCATCCAACTCACAACATATTCTTCTTCCTTCTCCTCTTCTTTCACTTTTATTTTGTCCTCTTATTTACTTTATTTTATTGATTTTTATTGTATGTTACTTTACAAAAAAATACATTTTTGGGCAAGCATGCAAGTGTAGTTGCACGTGGTTGGTGTACATGTAGTTACACACACGTGTGTGGGTGTGCAACTGTTGCTGCGCGCCGCTGGTAGAAATGTAGTTGCACACAGCTGGTGGGCATGCAACTGTTGTTGTGCATAGATGCACAGGTGTGCAACTCTGGTAACGCATGATCGGTGGACATGTAGTTTCACGTACATGGCAGGCATGCAACTACAGTTTGCGGGTGGTCGACAGACATGTCGTTGCAGGCCGGAGTGCAACTACAAATGCATGTTGATAGCCTGGTACGCAAACAATGTGCAACTATATACATGTGCACAATTGTAGTTGCGGTGTGAACGAGCATGTAGTTCCAGTTGCACATGATCGGATAAGCCAAAGGGTTGAGATAAGAAAACAAGATGGACAAATGTAAAGACAAGCATCCACCAAGCGGACGGCTTGGAGAGTATCACCCGGGAAACATGATGACCATGTAAGCAAAGCTTAACAGAAAGAGGCCCTTACTAGACACTTGCTCTTGTAATGTGTTCTCGTAAGGAAGGACGTACTAAATAAGTCCATCACCATCATCATCAATCCCCACCATCTCCGAGGGCGTTCGCTCCAAAGGGCTCCCCGCCGACTTGGGTCCAGCGAAACTTATCAAAGCCCCAGCCTCAAACGTTGAGGGTGGGGCACAATCTCCACCTCACAAAAGCGTCCAAGCACCAAGTGAATAATGCCTCCCATATGCGGCATCAGAAGATCAAGTGCCTTTAGGTCAATGATTGGGGACTTCGTCTTCTCTTCAACCACGGCTTGGTGACCGGAAATTTCCTTTAGGACCACCTCAGCCTCTTTAGCAACAAGTCTCGACTCCACTTTCTTCAAAGGCTTTTGAGGGCTTCACGTTGTCAAAACACAAGCCTAGCACAACTCTAGGAATCACCGACCCAAACCATTTCGATGTCAGAGACATCACTGCGAGCATGGAAGGAGTCGCCAGGTGTGCAAAGCACCCCATGGCGAGGGCACCCTATGGTCCGAGTCGTGGATCATGGTGAGGAGGGAGCACCAACTTGAGACATTTCACCGCTAAACTATGGCACACAATCTTCGCCGCCACCTTTGCCATACCTCATGTATTCCCTCCGTCTCAAAATAAGTGTCTAAACTTTAGTACAAACTAAAGTTGAGACACTTATTTTGGGACGGAGTACTCAGCATGTGTGAAAGGTCCACTCAGCTGCCATCTCATACAGGAACGCTGCTATCAAAGTGAAGGATGAAATATCAGCTCAGCAAGGCTAAGGAATCCAAACGGGAACGCTGCTGCCAACAACACCATCTTCTAACATGTCTCACACACTCCTCTTGCCCCTCACTCAGATGACTACCAAATCTTCCACCCACAGGCAAATGAAGGCTCTGTCCACGACACTTACTTGTGTACCACCAAGGCATCATCCCAAGCAACTGACATGGTTAAGTGAAGACGGGATCTAGGGCAAGAGAGGTAGAACCACGCCGCCTTCCGCTCATTCCATTCGGCTCGTAGGTCTTGGAGCCCATGAATGGGTATTAGTCGACAAACTTAAGACAATGCTTCAAGTACACCGTCCCGAAGATGCTCTCGATCAAGCCATCGGAGACAGTACCACAGTTATCACCACTTGAAAACGAACAACCGCCATATCCTAACATTTGAACAATAAAGCACGAAGTTGTTGAACAATAAAGCACGAAGTTGTGCGGCTTATCGAATTTACCGACCTTCTAGTTTGCAGGTATAGTTTCATGCAGTTCCCAACGTATACATGTTTAGGCTTGGAAGTTCATGATACACGGAGCCTTCACTCCTTTGTTACACACTTGGGAGACCACCAATGAGGTTTCAGGCAAGCAGAAAACAATTGCTACTTCCCGTGAAATAATACAACAGCGCCAATGCTTGAATCAATGTGTATGGCAAATGGAACCAGGACCACATCTATTCACTACGAGTCTACCTGGCTTTGGCCTCGATCTCTTCAACCATGTGCATTTCCATAAGTTCAGAGTCTCCTTGCTCAACCAAATGTTCCCTGCAAAATGCCAATAATAAGAAACGCCGATGCACAAAAATAAATAAATCAGGAGACCGTAAAAGAAAGGCTGTTCCAAAAAACTATGCACTTTAGTAGACAAAAAAGCAACGTCTCATTTCCGTCTGTTCCAGAAACTTATCCTTGGCAGACTATGCACTTTACTAGACATATGCTTGCTCTAGTTCTTGTAAATTGGCTCGCACAAATAGATTGTGCTTAAGTACTCTCACCCCCTTTTTGTACTGGATCGCAGAACAGATTGCATGAGAATTCAGCCACACAAAACACTAATATGAGCCAAAAAGAAAGTGTCCATACCTTAATTTCTCACACAGGCGTGCCAATGCATCAGCCCCGGTTCGTGATGCAACATCTTCTATTAGCCGAGCGTTCGACCTATTTACAGTCTCTGCTAGCTTAAACTCGCATAGTTCTTTTAAGGACGATGCATCAGTTAACACAGCTGAATGCCCGCCACCTGCAGCAAGTCTTCTCACCTCTCCAACACACCTACACCGCAGAAAAAGATTTCAGACTTCGCATAATGTGCTAATCAACTACTAAGAATAGTTACACATTTCACACTCAAAAAAGAGAGATGGAAGTAGGCAGCCTACCAATCAACCGGAGAAGGGTACCAAGCATAAGTAGATTTCTCATTAGCTGCCTGACCATAACTATTATAGCCCCATCCATATATACGTCCATCTTTCATAGATACAAGTGTGTGCGAGTGACCACAAGTAACAAGCCGGACACCTGATGGTATGACCAGGACTGGAATGTTACGAAGTAGCATGTCGGATCCATTAAGAGCGCATGAAAAGAAACCGTTCTGAGGTCCAAGCCCCAGTTGGCCCACATGTCCTCCACCCCAACCGTAGAGGGCTCCACCTTCCGTTACAGCACAAGAGTGAACCCCACCACAAGACACATCCCTAGTTACTATCCCTTCAAGGGCAACAACTCGCCTTGGGATCAGCTCCTTATCTCCAGACTGAAGTGAACGATGCCCAAGCTGCCCCAGGCTTCCAAGTCCCCATGTATACCTGCAAAAACCAAAGGTATTTACAACTAGAAATAAATGGGCCTACAAGATGAAAGGCTGAAGATCAGAAGCTGTTACAACAGACTGACTTCACATGAAGGCTTTCAAAAGAACATGCTCCAACCTGTACTGCAATGTCTCCAAATGATGCCATTTATAATTAAAACATACTCCAGCACGCACTTTTACCATTACTTCTTTCCAATATATATCAGCAGAAGTTATAGAAATTATATTTGAGTAATTTTTTATGACAAGTACTGTTGCCTTTTTCATATGAAAAATCTAAAGCATTCCAAGCATGGTTTATTAAACTATATCTATTTGGAAACGGGGGGAGTACAAGATAAAATCCAAGATAGTTCACACAGAATTCAGTAAACCAATAGACAAGTCATGATGTTATACTTTGCAGCTTCTAGCCATAAAGTATGTGACACATTTATTTTGCTTTAAGATGTGGAGAAGTGCAGTGATTTAAGTAATAGCAAAACTGCTTTTGACCGTATCGATGCCACTTATTAGATCACATGACACTAAGCTAAAAGATAACCATTGTGCAATGTTTGCTTCACAGCTGTTAGTCATGGTTAGCTCATCATAAATCAAGCTCTTCCATTTTGCCAACTGAAGAAACCACACCACTTCCACTAACAGCAGAGAACAGCATCCTTTGAGATGACTTACACCTCCCCGTTTTCTGATATAGCTGCTGCATGGTACTCTCCACATGATACTCTAACAATCTTCACTAGCTCGGGTGTGTCATCAAGGAACCTTGCATAAGCATTTAATACACGAGCTCCCTGCAATCCTTCAGAAGTACAACCTCTGCCAAGCTGACCATACTCATTGTAGCCTGGCTAGTAAGAAAATAGTATATATCTTGTTAATAGTGAGAAATGAAATAACTGAAGAACTGGCTCCCGTTTTGATGGAAGAACTGGCTCATGTTGCATGTTTCAATAAAAGAAATAACAGTCACGATAAGCTATCTTGTATATTAAACCTCGAGTTACGGTCACTAATCAAGGTTGTGAACAGCGATTTTGTTGTACGATTCTACGACTTCACGGTCTAAACTGATTGAACTGATTCTACTACAATTTTACGATTCTAACAGTTATTGATCCTACGATTTGCGATCTTACCATGCAGTTCTGATCTGATTCTGAGAACCTTGGTCACTAGCGATTGACAAAGCTAGCACCAACATCCAAAGTTTCAGTCTAGTATGTAGACCAGTACGTCTTTCCTAAGAATTTACAAGTAAAACATGCGGACAGAAGATGGACAAGACTTTTAACACGAAACATTACCCCATGCTTGCAGCAGGCCATCATCCGATAGGGCCACCACATGAACAGCTCCACAAGAAACCTGCCGAATTACCTGTGAATGTATGACTGATATTTTCAGTGCCACGATATCACCTCAAACATACATTAAAAAACAGTGTCAGTAACATTTAAATCTGCCAACAGTTACTATTATTCATTTTGGGTGCTATTAGAGCATCTCCAGCAGGGACCCTTAAATCTGTCAGCTTATCCCCCAAGTTGATCCCCCCTCCTAGGCAAGTAACACAGGCCATATAATAAATTTGCACCCCGAGCTAAAAAGCAAAGCAATAGTTATTCCCTTGCACCCTCTCTTTACTTTCCTAGCAGTAGATGAATTTTAGGGTTTACCATCATCTGGTTTTCCATAACTGTCAGGTTTATTAAGAAAAAGAAACACTTTCAGGGGCACGTGAAAACAGCATACAAGCATATAACCTGCTAGGTGGGAAGTACAAATTCTACTAGAGATCTAATTTGGCAAACTAGGTGAAGTTTCCAAGTCCACCATAGACATTTGTCACTGGGGGAACAAATAGTTCATGGACAACACGAAAAAATATATCAGCACATGAGTATTGTTTAAACATTTGGTGTTCAGCTTCATACAGGAAATTAAGGATCAAGACCACGGGGGATTTGAATAAATACTTTCCTATATGGTGAAATGTATCTATGCATATAGTTGGCATAACTTATCATGTTTACTTCTGGACAGATGAAACAGGGTAAACTAAGAGGAAACATCAAATAAACAGGACTAAAAAAGAAGGCTGCAATGTTTGAGTACACAAACATTCGGTCTCATGAATCTACTTGAACTGTGCGACATAATTGATCCAGTGTAATTGAACTTTACCGTGTTTGGTGCAAAAGCACCCCAGTATAGGCGAGGGTAATCTGAGCCCTGCAAGGATCATTCAAACACAAATGCTAACTATTTTTGTGTTACAAGTTGGTTCTCAATCTACAAGGGACAGATTCAGCAGTACGATTAATTTAGGCAAACCTGATTTTGTCCCCAAACCCATAACCTGCTTCTCGATATTGAGCCATCATTTTCTCGAGGTTCAGCAATAGCAGCTGTACAGTGTGCACCACAGGACACCGATTTCACAAACTCAGTCGCCAGTGCATTGACCTTTTTAGGTTCCTTTGCACTCTCCTCTGTCCCATCTCCCAACTGGCCAAAGTCATTTGCACCTGTACATTTTAAGTCAAATGTAATCTGCTTTTGGAAGATTTCTAATCATGTTCACATATACTTGGTACTTTCTACCAAATTATAGACACAAAAAGGTTGCACAGTAGGGTGGAATCGGAAAAATATTACATAATAACTATCAGAATGTCATGTTATCAGAGGAGGCACCATGCTTCCAGACCTCCAGCTGAGAGGGCCAAGGAATCCTAGTACTACTCGGTTGCAGCATGATCTAGATGCCTTCAGCTCGAGTCCTTGTCCTATATGGTGTCTTAGTAGCTGCACGTTTAGCATAGGGAAGAGTCCTAAGTCCAACTTTGCTTCTGAGTCATATGAGTAAGGACAACCTCTATATAACGAGGCAGCCACCGTTCTTATTAATCAAGCTACAAAGTCTAATCACCGATCTCTATTTCTCTGCTTCTGCCTCCCATAATTTGGATGCCCTGTCCCTTGTGCAACTTCTGCTATCACAGCTCCGCCGACAGGACACCGCAAGGGTACTGGTCCACGGCCTCCTGCCTATCATGATTATCACCTACACGCAATCCATATCGCGACACAGAAGAACAACCGACAAGCCAGTTAAAAGGAGATAAATAAAATTGGTGAGACTGGTCTCAAAATGCCTAGCGAGTATGATGTGCCAAGTATCCATGAATAGTATAGTCCATTCACTACTAGGCAGGAACTTCTCCAAGCATGTAGCACTGACTAGTGGCAGAGCTTGCACCAAAAAACTGGATGGGCTGGGTGGGCCAGGCTGCAAGAGTACTCAAGGATGGCATTCTACGGCTCATGGTCTGGCTGTAATATGATGAAATGCTCCAGAGCTGGGTGGGCCATGCGCATGTAGCACCGCCACTGGCCCCGATGGTAAAAATCATCAGGGATAATAACTCAACTACAATATTTCAGATCCAAATATAACAGCGATGGCATGGCATTAATGGCAACACTCCCGCTTGATGGTTATCTAACACTCCGCAATATACAAGATTTAGTAAAGATGGACCTACCCCAGGTGAAGAGTGATCCGTCAGAAACTACTGCAGCAGTGTGCGCACGGCCACATGCAATATCAATCCATCTGAGGTTCTCGCCATCCCTACAGGTGAATAGTTTGGGAGGTAGGCTCTTGGGGATCCTCAGGTGGCGCTCCTTGCCCTTGCGTGCAGTCTGGCCACTCTGGTTATATCCCCATGTGTATATAGCACTCTTGGTTGGCATGCCAACAACACGCAAGTTGCAGATCACATCATCTATATCCATTGCTGTCTGTTCATCAAATGCAAAACAGCAAACAAAGTGACAAAGCGATGAGGACGAATCTATTCAGGTTGCTGATGAAGCAGTTTAGCTACAAGCGTCCAACTTTGAACAACACTTCAGTTACCCGGCACAGGAAGCATCAAAATTCACATCCCCTTTCAGGTGCTCAATTACGAAACGATTCAACTGGATAATTTGCAATAATTAAGCAGGAAGGCATTAATTAGAGGTGCCACTATTACAAGTAGGAAGCTTTTTACAAAAACTCCATAGTCCCACACATCAAATCAGTAATTTAATGCAAAAACATTGGTTAGGATGTGTAACCTCTGGTCTAGTTGGCCCCCAAAATAATACTACGATCTTTCGAAGTATTTCGAACCGCAGTACCAACTTTAGCTAAAAGGGCAATTCGAATTGCAAATTCAGCCACCAAGATTTCTATTTTATTTCTAACTGATAGTCAATCCAAGGTTAAAAATGTTCCCAACTTGCATAAAACTGAGACCCAGCCCCGCAGTCTGCCCAAACATTAGGACCTTGCTGAGGGGATTGCACAAGAATCAGATGATCAGGGGATGTGGATTGTTTCAATCAATCAATTGAACCCCCATATTTTTCATGAAAATAAGCCTGCTCCTGTTATTAGTACTATGACCAGTTCGTCAGGGTACATACTAAATAGACATTGGCGGCCGCTGAAATGAGAGCGAGAAGAACATGGATCCAAAGAAAGCTAGGGCTTTCTTACCAACAACAAAAGAAGGAACTACGGCCGGATGGATCTTCACTTGGGGCCGGAGTAGCAATCTCGCTTCCTTGGGCGGATGGGGGTAGGAGGTCGCGGGAGGACGGAGCGAGACTGCGGGGCCGACGAGCAGGGGATTCCCGATTTCTCTAGAATAGCTTCCGGATTCCCAAGTTCCGAGCGACAAGGGAAGGGAGAAAGCGAACGGTTCGCACAAAAAGTCACGTGCCGAACCCAAGGAGGACGGCCGCAGCAAATGGTGTGATTTTTTCTTTTCTGCCCGACAAAAGAAGCGTCCAGCTTTATAAATTACTCCATCGATAAAGAAATATAAGAGCATTTATATCACTATTTTAGTGTTGTTTTCTAGATATTTCAACAAATGACTACATATGAAGCAAAATGAGTGAATCTACACTCTAAAATATGTCTATATATATCCGTATGTGATAGTCAATTTGAAATCTCTAAAAAGACAAATATTTAGAAACGAATAGTACCGAAGTGCTATAGAATGGAGACTACTATAGTTCTATAGCGATTCGGCGCTTATCCGGCCATTCCACCACGAACCCGAATCTTGGAGCAAAGGCACCTACCACGTCACACTTTACAGGTGTCCATTTCAAAGATGGCTTAGCGCGAACGCATGTTGATGAGGAACCATCTTTTCCTTCCACCCCCAATCCCACCCCACAACGTACTGTTCCCATCCGCTTTCTTCCTCTCCATTTTTGCCACTATGCCGCAGGTGGACGACGCGCTGCCTGAGGTTAGTGGAGGTGGCATCAGGAGGCTTGTTGTATGGTAATAAACCCCTATGTGGCTCAATCTTTCACATTTGGAGATGGATCAAAAGAAAAGAAGAACACGCAAGACGGGATCCAAATCACACATCCACTCTCTCCACAAATCCATATAAGTACCACAAGATTCACAATCAACAAGGGAAACAAGTAACAATGTAAAGTTCCTTCCAAATCCACAAGGGAGTTGAGGTCTGTGACGCCCCCGATTCAATCGTACACTAATCATACACGCAAACGTGTACGATCAAGATCAGGGACTCACGGGAAGATATCACAACACAATTCTAAAAATAAAATAAGTCATACAAGCATCATAATACAAGCCAGGGGCCTCGAGGGCTCGAATACAAGTGCTCGATCATAGACGAGTCAGCGGAAGCAACAATATCTGAGTACAGGCATAAGTTAAACAAGTTTGCCTTAAGAAGGCTAGCACAAACTGGGATACAAATCGAAAGAGGCGCAGGCCTCCTGCCTGGGATCCTCCTAACTACTCTTGGTCGTCGTCAGCGGCCTGCACGTAGAAGTAGGCACCTCCAGTGTAGTAGGAATCATCGTCGACGGTGGCGTCTGGCTCCAGGGCTCCAGCATCTGGTTGCGACAACCAGGTAGAAGGGAAAGGGGAAAAGAGGGAGAAAAGCAACCGTGAGTACTCATCCAAAGTACTCGCAAGCAAAGAGCTACACTACATATGCATGGGTATATGTGTAAAGGGCCATATCGGTGGACTGAACTGCAAATGCCAGAATAAAAGGGGGATAGCTAATCCTGTCGAAGACTACGCTTCTGGCAGCCTCCGTCTTGCAGCATGTAAAGAGAGTAGATTGAAGTCCTCCAAGTAGCATCTCCAAGTAGCATCTCCAGTAGCATCGCATAGCATAATCCTACCCGGCGATCCTCCCCTCGTCGCCCTGTGGAAAAGCGATCACCGGGTTGTCTGTGGAACTTAGAAGGGTGTGTTTTATTAAGTATCCGGTTCTAGTTGTCATAAGGTCAAGGTACAACTCCAAGTCGTCCTGTTACCGAAGATCACGGCTATTCGAATAGATTAACTTCCCTGCAGGGGTGCACCACATAACCCAACACGCTCGATCTCATTTGGCCGGACACACTTTCCTGGGTCATGCCCGGCCTCCAAAGATCAACACGTCGTAGCCCCACCTAGGCACAACAGAGGGGTCAGCACGCCGGTCTAAATCCTATGCGCGCAGGGGTCTGGGCCCATCGCCCATTGCACACCTGCACGTTGCGTACGCGGCCGATGAGCAGACCTAGCAACCTCCATTACAAAGGAAGTTGCGTTAACGCAGTCCAACCCGGTGCGCGCCGCTTAGTCGCTGACGTCAAGAAGGCTTCGGCTGATACCACGACGTCGAGTGCCCATAACTTTCCCGCGTAGTTGGTTAGTGCGCATAGGCCAGTAGCCAGACTCAGATCAAATACCAAGATCTCGTTAAGCGTGTTAAGTATCCGCGAACGCCGAACAGGGCCAGGCCCACCTGTCTCCTAGGTGGTCTCAACCTGCCCTATCGCTCCGCCACAAAGTAACAGCCGGGGGCCGTCGGGAACCCAGGCCCACCTCTACCGGGATGGAGCCACCTGTCCTTTCAGCCCCGTCATCAGAATCACTTGCGGGTACTCATCGAGCTGACCCGACTTTAGTCACCATCTGTATAATATGTATGTATGTATAGTATATACCCGTGATCACCTCCCGAGTGATCGGCCCAATAGTATAGCAAGGCAGACTGACAAGAATGTAGGGCCAATGATGATAAACTAGCATCCTATACTAAGTATTTAGGATTGCAGGTAAGGTATCAACAGATGTAGCAATAATGTCAGGCTATGCATCAGAATAGGATTAACGGAAAGCAGTAACATGCTACACTACTCTAATGCAAGCAGTATAGAGGAGAATAGGCGATATCTGGTGATCAAGGGGGGGGGCTTGCCTGGTTGCTGTGGCAAGAAGGACGAGTCACCAACACCGTAGTCGAACTGGGGGTTGCCGGCAGTCTCGGGGTCTATCGGAAAGAAGTAACGGAGAGGGAACACAATAAATAACAGAGCAATCAAAGCATCACAAAGCGTAACAAGACAATACGCTGTGTTCGGTGTGCCCTAATGCGGTAGTAGGTGATACCGGTGAAGGGGGGAAAACATCCGGGAAGTATTCCCGGTGTTTCGTGTTTTCTGACAGATGAACCGGAGGGGGAAAGTTGCGGGTTTGATATGTTAGGGGTGTGTGGTGGACGAACGGGCTGCGTATCCGGGTTTGTCTCGTCGTTTTGAGCAACTTTCATGTTGAAAATATTTTAATCCGAGTTACGGATTAAAAGATATGATTTTCTAAAGATTTTATTAATTTCTGGAATTTAATTAATTATTTAATTAATTCGAAAATGATTTAATGACATCAGCATGATGTCATGCTGACATCAGTAGTCAACAGAGTTGACTGGTCAACCTGACTTGTGGGTCCCATTCGTCATTGACTAATTAGTCTAATTAGGGTTTAATTAAACTATCTACTTAATTAGATTAATTAATCATGATTAATTAACTTAATTAATTCATTAACTATTTTAATTATTAATTAATTAATTGTTTATATATTTATTTTTATTTTGTTTTTTTAATAAAAACGTTTTGGAGTGGGGCCCATTGTCATAGGGCCACTGGAGCCTATGCGGGCGTGCGGGTTACGGGCGCCACCCGAACGGGCGACGGCCCGAGTGGGCGTGCGGGCAGCGGGCGCAGCGCCCGTCGGGACGGACCCGAGGCGACGCGGCGGGCACTCGGCGTCCCATGGCGAAGATGCGCGGGGCGGAGCGGAGCACGGTCGCGGGCGGCGACGAGCGCCGACGCGGGGCCGTATCAGGGAGGCGACAACGCGAGCAGAGGCGGCGGGAGCAGCGGGTGCACATGGCCGCGGCCAGGGTCGGAGGAGGGCGGCCAACCAAGACAGGGGCGCGCCCTGGGCACGCGCACGGGCGAGAGGCGACGACGCATGAGCTGGAGGAGCAGCAAACGGGGCTTGGCCCGAGCGACGGCGCGGTCGGGCGGGACGGACAACGTCCGATGGGGGGGAGCAGAGGGCGTGGCCATGCAGGGAAGAGAGAAGGAGGGGCCTCACCACGGGTCGTGGGGTCTGGGCAGTGGGCGCGGGGAGGTTCGGGGAGGCCGACGGGGACGACACGGCGGAGCGGGAGGCAGTCCGGCGAGGTGGTCCTGTTCGGCGGCGACGGTCGATCCGGGCGGCGTCGGGGGCGGTTGCCGGCG